GTACACACGCCTCGCTCTCGATGTGGGGGGGGGGGGGGGGGGTTGTTATTATTATTACTACCGTCTGTCTCTGCTACAAACACTCAAACACTAAATCCTAAAAAGTGAACAAAAATAAAAAAAAATATATATGTCTTCCGACTACTGTCGGAGGCTCTTGTTGGGTTTTTTTTTTTTTTATGAAGTAGGCAAGGATTAGGACCTCTGTCAGGTTATAGTGCAGTCTGTGTCCCAGCTGGGGAGATTTACCCTCTATTTGTTCTGGTGACCACTGTCACAGACTGAAGGTGATGGAAAATCAAATACAACAAATTTTCTAAGAGGACTTTACTCAACCTGAAAAGGTTTCCTTTTACTTCCTAGTTTCTGGGACAGGAAGTGAAGGGGAATATCAGCAATGGGATAGAGCAAAACAAAAGCCCTGATAGGTCTTTAACACTCACTACAAAAAAAAAACAAAAAAAAAAAACACCACACACACACACGACAGAAAAAACAAAAAACACATTTCCAATTCACTTTAGACTTAGACCTGTATCTAGAGAAATATTTCAGCAAGAACAGGTTTTTAGAACAGCAGGGGAAGGTATTTTATGTGACACTAAACTCAGGAGTTAAAAATGCATTCAAGTACTTTAACTATTCACAAAAATATCTTATTTGTGTATCACTCAGCTGTAGATCATCGAATCATCTCTGAATTGGTGCCGACACTGTCCTTCCTTCTGGAGGGTGGATACTTTTGTTCCCAATGGTATGCGTGTGCGTTGTAAAGTAAAAAATAATGGTGACATGACGTTCCAATAAATGACCTTTTTGGACTTTGATATTGTTGGTGTGCTGGTGACAATTTTTGTACTGAGTGGCGGCGCCATGCGCGGTCAATGCGAGCAACCCCATCCAATTTTTTTTTTTTCCGGCAAGGAGTGCAATAAGGTATCTTTGTCTGTTCTACTGTGTTGTAAAGTAGCCACCACACCAAGCTCACTCCCGTGATTAAACTACAATCTCAATAAAAAATTAGTAAACTAAATGTGAGATTGTAGTCCATCATCAGAGAGAGCTTGGAGCGGTGGCTACTTTACAACACACACAGGGACCATGGAGAACAAAAGTAGCCACTCTCCAGAAGGAAGGACAGTGTCAGCACCAATTCAGAGATGATTTGAGGATCTACAGCGGAGTAATACACAAATAAGATACATTTTTGTTAACAGTTCAGGGACTTGAATGCATTTAAGATGTAACTCTTGAGTTTAGTGTCACTTTAACACTATATGTGTTGGTATGCACAAAATCCTGTAAATGGGCACTATTAGTGCTTGAAGCTTGCATACGTATTTGTCTCGTATTTGTCTCCACCTCGCCTCTTACTCTTGAGAACAAGTGTTGTTTACAGAAGCACAAGAACAAGCTGCATCAATGATAAGACACAGTAGGCAGAAATAAATTTGGCATGATGCATTAAAAGCAAAGGCTTTTCTGAGAACATGTTTAATGACAGTTGGTTTTATACACTTCCTCTGCTCTGATGTAATGGAGCATTCAGCAGGTATTGGCATTGTCAAACACATACCCTGTTTGTACCTACACAGCTCTGTGTATGGGGCCTTAGTGCCACATTAAAGCAAGCCTGTACTGAGCAAGCAAAGAGACTGAGCACTTCTGAAAATGCTAGTCTGTAGCAGTCATGAAGGTCCAATGGCTTCAGTACTTTCCAAGTCACTGACCAAAAAAAAAGTAAACCGATCAGGAGGTCTGACTTTCCTGATGTGCAATACATATTGTGCTTGTTCTAAGCCATTGAGCTTTATTAACTTAAAGTGACATTAAAAAAGGATAAAATGTTTTCCCTCCCCCCATGTTAGTGTCAGCACTTACCTTAAATTATGTCTCTTAATCCGATCTTCCTCTTTAGCCTTCTCTCCAGCGCTGCTGCAGGTCTGCGATCCAGCGCTGACTCCTCTGTTTGCTGGCACTTCCTATCCCACGGTGTCTGCATGCTGGTGCATGCGTCCATATACTTACCTTGTGTCTCTCCTCGTCTCCCAGCTGAAAATCTGAACTGTGCATGCGCCCACCCCAAGATCCCCTGCAGAACTTTCAGATTTTCAGACGGGAGCGCGCAGCGAAGACACAGGTAAGTTTAAACCTCTTTTAAAAGTGTGTGTGTTTTGTTTTTTTTTTTACGTTTTTGCCTATCTACTGCTTGCTAGCCATAGATATATGCAAAAAACACTGGAGGGTTTAATAACCCTTTAAGGCAAAATAGGCTGGGGTTTTTTTTTACAAGGGATTTCCCTTGGCTTTGTGAATGTGGTGAAAAGGCACTTTGCAAAGAATACCTAATCACGTGCAATAGTATTTTTGGATGCACATGATTGGATGAGGGAAGTTAGCAGAGCTTCAACTCATTCACTTAGCCATGTGAAAGTGTCCTCACAAAAGTGAGCATCCTATTAGTCTTTAGTAAATCAACCCCTTTGTCTCAAAAAGTACACAAATCAGAGGCTGATAAGGCAACTAGGATTTTCACAAGGTGATCCAGGTTTCCTTCAATGGAAATGTATGGAAGAAAAAAAAAAAAAAAAAAAAAAGGCCAACAATCTTGAAACTAATCTATATGTACAAAGAAAAGGAGATACAAAAATGGAAAGAAAGTGGTGGTAGAAAAAGACTACTACTTTACCCTGAAATTGTGAAGCTACTAGCTGCTGCTTAAATGTCACTCAAACGCAGTCTCTTGGCTTTTTCTTACACAGCGTGCAACTTTCCTTTTAAATTCTCCATTACGGTCTTCTCTCCACTCTTTCTATGAAGACAAGAAAATAAGGTGGCTTACACAATTTTGCATTTTATTATTACAGGGCTTTATTAAAAAAAAGTCACATCAGCATACAGCTCTGCAGGCCAATGTGAAATATTACATTCAACAAATATTTATTTAACTTGAAATTTTTTTCTACTTCCTGGTCCACTTTGGCACAAAATGATGTAATGTGCCCAAGCATTGTATCCTGGGAAGGTTACGTCAATAGAGCATTGCTAGGAAATCTCATAAGATCTCAGGGAAAAGGCATTTTCTCCAACAAAATACCACCTTTTCAAGAAAGAAGATGGCCAAAGAAGTTATAAGGTAACCAATTTCATAAACTTAGCCTGATGGTTTTTCTTTATTATAAACAAATAACCAAAAACATTTTTTGTTGTATAGGATTTCAAGTTATTTACCAATATAGAGGAATTAGTATAGTTATCATACAGTGGTTGTTTTTTACAATTTTCATTAAAAGGCATTTTCTCCTCTGCATGGTCACATGTCCTAGGCACATGTGGCAGAGTCCCAGGAAGTAAAGGGAGATTAGTAATCTGCCCTTAGTAAATATGGCCACGGTCAGAAGACTGGGAAAGTAAAAGAGAAATAAGATATGCACAGAATACAAAGCCGGCAATTATCTAGAAGTATGTGTTTGTAGATTGTCATTACTAAACATTTCTAAAAGGTGTGTTTGTTGTTATTTTAAAGATATGGGTAAAGGTTCGCGTTAACATATATCTGTAGTTTTGTGTATGCTGATTCCTTGTCAGTAATTAAGACCTTCCCATCACTTTAAAATGCACATAACATTGAGCAAGAGTAAACGAATGCACATTACTCATCTAAATGAAAGGTAACTGCTTTAAAAAAGGAGAACTATGAGGTTAGTGCTTTTCACTCTCCTCATAGTTCTAGCCGACCTGTGACAAATGAGACTGTCACAGGTTGGCTCAATAGATGCAATATTTGTTTTTCGCAAAACTGAATTTGTAGGTGCAACTCAGTGTATTGGAGGAGATTGGGTACTTAATTTTCTGTACCTTCAGGCTAGGAGCGTTTACAAAATAGCCCACAGATGTGTGTGTGTGTTATGGGAGTTGTGTTAGGGAAGCCCATTCATTTGAATGGTCCCCCAAACTCACCAAAACGTATATTTTTTTTTTTTTTTTTTAAAGAAATGAAATGCACTTTTAATCAGAAATGTAAAAACAAATGAAGTCACCATTACACATAATAGCAGAAGGTTTTATATATAATGCAAAAGATAGAGGTGTGATGTTTGGCAAAAAAACAAAACCCTATGACATTTGCTCTTTGCACTTTTATGATTAGGTTCCTTGACATGCACTTTATATTTAAAACATATTGCCACGTTAGTTTTATACATTAGCTAAGGCTTAGATAGGGAAGGGGAGAGGTGTGTGTGTGTGGGGGGGAAAAAAATAAAAAAAACAGTTCAAAAGGATAAAGGGCAACAACGTGCAGTTACCCATAGCAACCAGATTTTATTTTTTTATCACCGCAGTTTTGAGGTATTAAACATGCTACACTCTGTCTAGAAGCAAACATTGTGAAACAGGATAGGACAAACACCACATAAAAACATACTGCTGCATCGACGTTGGCTGGGGAGTCTCCATTGGGATCTGCTAGCATAGAAATTACACTGATCATAATTGTTTCCACCGTATGAATAGGAAGCCAGCGCTCTTCTGGTTTCTCGTAGCCATACTTATCCTCACCAGGCTCGTGAAGAATGGAAATGCACACATCACCATTTTTATCAACTAAAAAAGGAAAAAATATATCCAAGGTGAACAAAATATTCATTTTAAACAACGTATGAAAGTGTGCTGTACAGTTCACAACAACGAACCAGAATCCTAGTTTAGTTTTCAGATCTGGCTCACAGAAATGTCAGAAGCCGATGACGCACCTTGGCCAAAAAATTAATCTTTTCCCCAAACACTTTACAGATACATCATCCCAAATGTTTTCCGGTGCATATTAGGTGTAAAATAGCACATTTTAGAGGCAGCAGTAAATCCTTAAAAGTTTCATAGTTTGCAATACCAAAACTTGAAGACATTATTCCAAAAGCTGCAAACAGAAACATGAGTTAACATGCATTATTATGCACTACTTAAACCACTTTTTCAACATGGTAAAGAAACACATGGCTAATCTCCAAAAAGGCTCATTTAGAATAGCACTCTTTTCAGCATCAATATATTCACTCGAACTAGAGTTATCATCTCTGTTAAACTTGCAGAGAATCAATTCTTACTAGAGTGTTGGTTCCTGCAACATCTGGATCATCTGCAGCCTCACAACCCCCCCCCCCCCAACC